CAAGCCAGTGTAGGAATATCTATAATTCCCGGTTCAAACACTTTTGGTTAATATATCTAAAAGTTGTCCACCAAAAGGGCCATATCTTGCCACTATAATACTATTCAATGCACATATTTTTATGTGCTTCATCCTATCACACCGTACCATATTATGAATAATGCCAATGGTAGATTTGTTATCTTACATTATAGAACGTCATATATATATATATATTATTCTCAAGGTTTGATATTTAAAGTGTTTTAAGTAATCCGAACTCAAATTCTACTTAGACTAACAGACATATTAAATAAAGTGAAACATTTTAAGCTTTTATGGCAATTGACTCTTGTACATAATATATTTTAACTCACCCTTTTTTGCACCAAAAAACAACACATTTAAAATTTGAGTGAATTAAAAACAAAAAAAAAATTCATTATTTTGAGCCATAGAAAAATATTTAACTTATTGAAATTTTATAATCAAAATGATTTCACTCTGGATAAATAAAGTGATTAATTTATTCAATTTATTTTGTAAAATGTTGATTTTGGATGAGACTTGAATAATTTTAATTCAAAAACAATTATTTTAACAGTTGCACCCATTACATTGTTCTTTGGATTAATTGATTTTATGTTTGATCTCATTACTAATATTTTTCATCAAAATGTCATTTTCTATTGATCATATACTTTTCTCATAATTTATGTTCTTTGTCCTTTTGAGTAGTTATTTTTTCGTAAAGCTGAAAGTGAATTCAAAACCCTTTTCTTCATAATTTTTTAAACAAACAATTAAATAATATTTTTCTTCTGAATAAAATAATCTACATCATCACCTACATGCCATTTTTACTAACATATAAATTATTCTTGGAAGACTCTTCATTTTTAAAAAACTAACCACTCATGATATCTTCAAATAATATGCTGACTAATTCATGACTAACTTTTTTTTAATGATTTTTTATCACTACTGAGAATTCACTCTTAATATGCCGACCAGTTAACCACTAATGATTTATTCTCTTTTTCATCATATCACTAATCTTATCTCATATTTATCTTTCTTGTGACTTTGTTAGGTTATAAAAATGGTAAGAAAAAAAACTTATGTAGATTAGATATATCTATAGAATGAGGTGACAATTTAGCGACGTGTACACCAAGGAAAAAAAATGAAACACGAAAATTAATATATATATATATATATATATATATAGATATATATATATATATATTCTATTAAATGTTTATATAAGTTAGATCCCAATAGTTTAGTAAGATCAAGAAGACCTCAACATTCAAAGACTACTCATAAAAGTACATACATATTATCTGCACCATAATATAAAATTGATAGTCTAATTTGATATACATATATATTTTTTTTTAAATGATTTTACTTTTAAATGATAACAAATAATAATAAAAAATAATTATTTTTACAAATACAAAACTTAAACAGGAGACTTTTAAGATTTGAGAATATAATCACTTTAGATGCTCCGCTTCAGGTTCTTTCAAACGGATAACGAACCACATCCTAGATGATTTTCATGTATTCCTTGGATTGAAATGTATGATGAGAATATAATCTACTTTAGATGCTCCGCTTCAGGTTTAAAGCACATCAATGGGTTCCAACGTAGCGAGAAAATTAGTCACTAGCGAGAAAATTAGTCACTAAACCCCAGAAACAATGGTATAACCGAGGTTCTTTTTTGCTGCTAATCAATTCTCAACGGAAGACTTAAGATTATTGACTCTGGAAACAATTGTAAAGATCTGTGAAATATTCTACCTTTAGGAAAAAATTAAATAAGGGAGAAAGAGAAAGACCTATATACCCATCTTTAATTTTATCTCATTTCCAACCTTATCTCCCGACCATAGTCATATTGTACCAATATAATGAAGTCACTTGTCACCTTCGACATTGTTGACCATTATTATTTTCGTCAAATTGAAATGGAAAAGATTTTATGGCATTCTAAAATTTTATATATACCTTATCCTTATATCTTTAAGTATTTATTTTGTGCGGGTCTCATGTATCTTATCTCTACACATGGATGTGATACATAAATAGATATCTAAGAAGGATTTAAAAATATAACTTTTGAGATATAATATTATTTTATATATTAACAAGAAAAACAATTTATATACTAATCATAAATAAAAAATTATCAATAAGTCGTTAGTTTGAATAATATTGAATTTGATCTCTCTAATTAAAGTCTTAAGTTCCAATCTTATGTATAAAAAAATGACTGAGAGATTTTACTAAAAATGATCAATTAAATTTTTTTTAATAAAGATTAATTATCAATAAAATCGATACCAATAATATAATTATCTCAAAAAATTACTCTATTATTTAAATACAAACTATTATATATAATAAGTTATTCACTTTTATAATAATTATTTAAAAATCATATATGATTGAGAATGTAAATTCTTTATACATACATAAAAACTATAATATTTTTTTTAACAAATATTCATCTGTATATATCCATAAATATTAATAAATTTTGTAGATGCATACTTGTCAGAAATTAGGATGAGTATGGAACCATTTTTAATCTATGGTGACAAGAAATTATCTTTCTTGCCTCATTGCTTATATAATCATTTTTTGGGGTGTGAATTTGACCTTGAAAAAATCAAGTTTATTTCATATTATTGACACTTAACCAACACGTTTTGATGCATGTATCTGCATCAAGTATTATCATAAAATGAATTAAAATGTGACGGCACAATCAATTACAAGCGCCTTAATGAGAGTTTTCAGCCACAGCCACATATTGTATCTGTTTTCAGCAACATGCATTTAAGCCTGCAATTGCTAACAATGAATTGAACTGCCAAATAATTGAATCGAGAATAATAGATACACTCAAGTGCCCTTATGTGTACGATAGTTGAAGAACAAACACCGAACCCAACGAATGTGTGCACATCATCATGTTAGAATTTTCAGGGTGTAAATCACATCATCATGTTTATAACGGTCAGTTACAACTTTTTCAAATAAAATATTATTAAAGAAATTTGGTGAAAGGGAAAAGAGGATTTCGGGTTTTGTTGACCGTTTCTGTCCCCATCACTCGCTCTTCCTCTTCCCCACTTCCTCTTACACACACACACATGTATTTGATAACACTCTCAACTGTCACCACCATACCCTTCATCCAAACCTTCTTCTTTTGAATGGGTTGCTTTCTTGGTTGTTTTGGTTCCTCCAAACACAGAAAGCACAAGCACAACGCTCAAGTTCAAGTAAGACTCTTCAATTCCCTCATGAGACACTAGTTCACAACACCACCAAGATTTTCTTTTTCTGTTTCTTTTCTTTCATTGCCATGACCCTTTTTCTTGCCTTTCTCAGCAGCCAACCAGAGCTAACTTGCTTTCTTTTTTCTTTCAGAGAAATGGTAGTAGCAACAGCAAGCAAGAGCAACCTAGTGTCTCTTTGGTTCAGGATTGCTCCAAAAATGCTATAAACCCTTCACCACAACTCCAGTAAGCAATTCCCTTCCATGATCTTCAGTTTCATTAGTTACTTGCTATTTTTGGAAGCTTTTGATATGTACAAATGTTAATGCAGGGATAAAAGTGAGGAGCAAGTAAGTGTGAGTAGCAGAAAGAAAGTGACATTTGATTCCCATGTGAAGACCTATGAGCCTGTTTTGGCTGAAGAATTTGAAGAGAGGAAGAGTGAGGAAGGTGGAAAGGAGGAAGCTTTGGCCCAATCAAAGTCATCTTTCTCTGAAGATAGTTCTCTGACTTCAACGGGATCTTTCCCTCCCAACCATAGGTACCAGAATTGCCGGGACAGTGATGAGGAGGAGGAAGAGATTGATTACGGGGACAGTGATCCTAGTGATGAAGATGAGGATGATGATGTCATCAGAGAAGAATGCATTGGAGAAGATGGGGTGGTGGTAACTACTGCTGCTGATCATGTGATTGCTGAAGAGGACGTTGATGTGAAGTCAATTGGGTCCAACCCCAATGCTAGAGACAGAAGTGTTTATGTTCATCCTGTGCTGAACCCAGTGGAGAATCTCACTCAGTGGAAAGTTGTTAAGGCTAAAATAACACCATCATCAAGGCCTCAGAAAGAGAATGATTTGCCATTTGGTGTCAAAAAAACATCTTTCAGCTTGAATTCAGAAACTGACACACCAAAGAAGTTGAACCAGGATATTCCAGTTGATGCCAGCTTGTCAAATTGGTTGTTCTCATCAGAAACTACACCACAAACAAACAAGGCTGGCTCAGTGACTTTTGATGCTGGTACCCCTGACAGGAGCACAACCTCACAAGGTTCATATTCTGTGATAAGTCATGAAGATAGGCCAATTTTAGGGGCATTGACATTGGAAGAGATCAAACATTTTTCGGCTACTTGGTCTCCAAGGAAGTCACCTAGTAGGAGTCCAGATGAGATGCCTATTATTGGCACTGTTGGAACCTACTGGAATGTCTCTGCTGAGAATTCTGGTTCGGCCTCTTCCTTTAAAGGGATTCCAAACACAACAAGCAGGTACAGAGAGGTAAAGATGAGGTGAACTTTTAAGAGATATTATTACTCAGTAGTTGAGGGTGAATTCTGATTTAGTCATACAATGGTGTGGTTGTGCAGTGAATTTGATGGAGTCCCTCCTTCCATGGTTGTAAGTGAAGTGTTGAAGGGAGACACCTTGCCCATGATCTAGGCTCACCAAAGGTTAGACAAAGGGAGGTTTATGGTGGAAGAAGGAAGCTAGGCGAGAAGTAGTGATGATTGGCGGAAGTGTATGGTGTATGGTGTATGGTTGCTCAAGGTTGGCTCACTAAGTGTAGGTGGAGGCCACTCTAGGGTTTCACTCTCCAAGGGTGGAGAATGAAAGGGGTTAGCCGAAGTTAACCTAGGGATTAAGGATGGGATTTTGAGGCATAAAATGCTCACTCAATATCATATAATCTAAAGTATTTACAAGGTGTGGAGCATTGTGTATTTATAGGAGGGGAGACATCTAGGGTTGCATTTCATAAGACAAATGCACTCCAAATGAAATGCAAATGAACCCTAGATGCAACTTGGTGGCCAAGGATGGAATCTTTGGGTTTAGATTGGCTATATCTAGGTGCATGATAAGACCATGCAACCTTTGCCCTCCACTTGGGCCTAAGCCTTTCTAACACCAAAAATAGATCCAATGAACACCAAAAATGCGTCACCCTTCTAATGTAACACCCTAGCCCAAATTAAAAACCTAATTATCTAGAGCACCCCATAATACAAGGGTAAAATGGAAAATACAAGGGAAAATAAATTCTAAGTCCTAAACACCCAAAAATACAAGGGTAAAATTGGCAAATAAAATAAACCCTATACTAATGAGGCTTAGGAGAGAACTAATACTCTATGATCATGAGGAGAGTGTCCCTTGGTGTGTGAACTCCCTCCTCCTCTTCAACTCTCCTAGCCATGGACCTAGTGATGGGGCCCACATGTGTCTTCAAGGATGGTCCTCCATCAGAATTGGCACTCAACCCCTATTGAGACAAGGTTAGAGAAAGCGTTAAATATAGATGCTGCTTCTGCGCTTATGTTCCTCGTGTATTTTAGACAAGCTTGCAATAGTGTGTGGTTTTGGGGTGGGAGTGAATTGTGTACAAATGTATTTTTTTTATTCTTTTGTAAACGTGATAGAGTGCAACGTTCTACTTCTTTATTATAATTTGTACTTGGCTTTAGCATGTTCAGCCCGTGGTGCGCTTCCCTTGGAAAATTCAAGAGCAGATTATAACATGTAATATTAATAATAATGTCTTGCTGAAATCATATTTCGTGTTTGAATGATAAGAAATCATATCATATCTTATTTTTTAACGATGATGAATCTTGCACCATAATCTATTCTATTCTATTAAAGATACACAACTTGTGCAGATATGCACACTTAACACCATAAATCTCATCTGGACTCCTACTAGGTGACTTCCTTATGCATAGTGCATATATACACCGTTCACTTTTCTCATAAAGGTACATTCAACATACTCCAACAGAAGAACATGATTCAGTTGAAGTGGGAAGAAAGCTATCCCTATTTGTCTCCATTCCGCCACCTTAGGTTATGTTTGTATTTTTATTGAAATCTTGGTAGCGTGATTCCAATACACTCTAAACACATAAGTAACAAAAGGGATCAATATCATTTTGCAAAATTACGTTGGAAGACTGTTAACACAAACATGAACTCAGCATTTTATGCCACACTGTTTGAGTACTGGACCTCTTTGTTTGGGCAAGAAAACATCAATTCGCACCCAAATCGTTGAGAAAATTATCGCTTTTAGTATTGACCAAAGGACAACAATGGTAGGGGTTCTGTTTTGCCTTCCCATTAGACCTTTAAGGAAAGGATATAAGTGCACAATGACAGCAATCTTCAAACTTCTTTGTCGGTATTACCTTGGTCATCATGTCTGACCAGTTCTCGTCTGTGTGAACCTTGTCAAGATGCAATTTCTTTTCCTCGAGGACTTCTCGGATCCAATGATATCTTGTGTCAATATGCTTCGTGCAGGAATGAAATGTTGAGTTCTTTGCTAAGTATATTGCGCTTTGATTATCACACTTTAACACATACCTTTCTTGATCTACTCCCAGCTCAAGAAGCATGTTCTTCATCCACAGCATCTCTTTGCAAGCTTCAGTAGCTGCAATGTACTCCGCCTCTGTGGTGGATAATGCGACACACTTTTGCAGTTTTGATTGCCAAGAAACGGCTCCCCCTACAAAAGTAGTTAGGTATCCAGATGTTGATTTCCTTGAATCAATATCACCAGCCAAGTCTGCATCTGTGTATCCCTCTAACACAGGTTTCCCTTTTCCAAAGCATAAGCATCTTTTGGAAGTTCCACGTAAGTATCGGAGGATCCATTTGACCGCTAGCCAATGTTCATTCCCGGGGTTGGCTAAGAAGCGGCTGACGACTCCAACTGCATAGGCGATATCTGGTCTTGTGCATATCATCGCATACATGAGACTGCCTACTACAGATGAATATGGAATCTTCTTCATCTCCTCCATTTCTCTCTCACTTGTGGGACTTTGCTTCGAACTCAACCTTGGGATATCTTTTAGCATTGAGGATCTGTGTGCATGGCCTTATTTACAATCAAAAATTACAGGAAGCTCATTTAGAAGGTTGTACAATAAATTGTTCTTTGACTTTTTTTTTTGCATAAAAAATACATTTCTATTAAGAGAAAAAAAGAAGGTACACTAGGGGGCCGAATCCTACACAATTGAAAATAGAAAAAAGATAGAAAACATAAAACTAACTGGAAGTGCATCACTAGGCTTCCAAATCCTTTGCATATAAAAGCCGGAAATCTCTTGAAACAACAGTGGGCGAATACTGAAGAGAAGCATAAGCAAAATCAAATGAAACAGATTTAAGAGCAAAGGGACACCTTTTTAGAAGTTTCGGCTTTATACTTCAATCTGTTTTGCCAAAGAGTTGTTTAAACTGAACAGTGAACACTGCTGTAGAGTTCTACACCATTGTTTTTACCCAATCCTTTTTACTGATCCACAAAAAAATGCTCCAAAGTAAAATGCATCTAGAGAGTATTATGAACTGATAAAATATATTTTAATATTGTTTGAAAATAGTTTTCCCCTTATTTTATTACATTGAATATATTTTTTGAAAGATATTTACTTTGTCCCTTGACAGCTTTGATATGAACAAGGTACTTGAATTTGGAGCATTATTAGCATCAGGAGGACAGGTAAAATAATTTCATGTTACGAACTACGTCTTATATTTTATTTTTGTGGGTTAACATACTCTCTATGCACAGGCACACACATGGATATTTTACCACTTGATGCTGATATGTTGAGATTGTAAATTTGTAATATAGTATTCACTATCAAAATGCCATATTAATTGCTTTCCTGAACATCACAACTTTATAATGCTAAATCTGTTTCTTCCACCTTATAATTAATATAGATAGATCTTAGAATTTGGATGTAGAGCTTAACTCTACCCTACAAAACAAGTCTATAAGGTGAGGATTTTCCAAGATTTATAAGCTCTATTTAAGTTATATCTCTAGTCAATGTTGGAGTAAACACTACCCTTGAGGCTGAAATTAAGGCAACCCCAAAGAGGCTGCAACTAAGGCAGGCTAGGGGTGACTGCAAATGCTTTCTAACAACAGACTTGGTTGTGTTCTAGACTCTCCATTAAATAATTGAGCTCCAAATGACAACATATGTTGTACAATACCAAAGAGTTACATCTCCCCTTTCCAATGATTTCTGTCAATTTTTTTTACCGATTAATTTGATTTGATTGTATTAGAATTATCTGTTCCAGGATACTATATGGATCAGGAAATTTTAAGAAATAACTTTTAATTGCCAATCAAGTTCCCATAAAGCCTATGATTGGATTTCTTCTATTTTTTTTATTATTATTTTTTTAATTTCCTTGAGGTTTCCTCGTTTGATTGCATGTGCAGCTATGTCATAGACATTTTATAAAATATCTTGTTTGATTTCAGGAATATGATATTGGAAATGATAATATCTTAACTTCACGAAGCGGGAAAGTCCGAGTTTTCCCAACTACAATGACCCTCAAAGAGACGAATAGCTTCCCAAAGAAAGGTCCCTATGAGTCATAGCCGTTGTTAATGGCATCAGAGATTCCAGCCCCGATTCCCACCAAATTTAAGATTACAAGACTGGTTGGCGGGATGAGAGGAGTAGTCCACTTGAAGAGATAGAGCTGTCCAAATGCAGTGTCATTGGCTGATTTTGCTCTCACAGTGAAATTAGTGTCTACTCCAGCAACTTTAAGGAGACCTTGAAATACAGCAAAGAGGTGTGCAGAAACACCCCCAATGACCCAGAATTGCTAATTGCGCAACCAGTCCTGAATGCTAACCCCACCCCAACGAAGCTCTAGCACACAGGCTAAGAAGATAGAGATGAATAAGGTCATTAACCAAACGCTAGCAAGGTTTGACAGCTGCACAGAAGAGGACTTTGGTCAGAAGACATGAACCTAATGTCAATAACATTGTATCCTTTCTTACAAAAGTAATGTTGAATTAGAGCTTAACAAATTGAGTTATCCTAGTAATCACAAGAAATTAGTATTGGTTTCTGATCAAAGTTCTCCTTTAATATAAACGAACTTCAATACTATGGTTGTTCTAACAAGCCAAAATCATTTGAAAGTACTTGAGCTTATCTTTCACATAGCTTCCATTACATTGTCAATGAAAGAATGAGAGCCTGCCAGAAGTGTCATTTCGTGCATGTATATAGTTAAGATAAATGATAGTAACACACTTTCAAACACTCTCTAGATCATTGGTTGAAATGTATTAGCAATCACAATTTTTGGTGGAATTCACTTCAAAACCGGGGATAGACTCCTCATTAATGAAAACTGAGTTTCACCAAAATTTGTAATTTTCAATAAATTTCAACGTCAATAAAAAGAGGGTATTTTAGAGTCTTGCTACTTGGTAGCATTTCTCACATGTATAATGAGGAAGCTAGAGTCATGGTGTATCCAAGCTAATCAAATGTAATACATTGATTATTGTGCACCTACAGTGGGGAAGGATGAACTTTCAGTCAGAAGACAGACAGCTGGAATTGTACAGTAGATCAGCAGAGGAATGGAAGTGAATGGATAGACAATGGAACTAGTGTAGGCCAACCTCTGTAAACATTTCAGTTTTCCACTATATCCATCCGACAAAGGGTAATAGCAACTAAAGAAAATCTGAGTAGAACCTGAAGCCCATTTCAGAACTTGATGGAATCGGTCTGATAGATTTATAGGAGCAGATCCCTTAAAAGCTGCTTTCTTTGGCATGCAGTGCACTGATTTCCATCCTTTACAATGCATGTTAAACCCAGTTAACTTGTCTTCTGTGACTGAGCCATAAAGCCACCCAATCTGCAGAAAAAGAAATGTCAAGATTACTTGATTCCTTAGCAGTACGAAAATTTAAATAGCTGCTTTCATATGGGAAATAAATGTCCATTTAAAGCAAAATGCATTCTTGTTTCCTGATGTGTGCAGGAGCCCTTCTATCAACAAATCTAGAATTTTTTATTTTTATTTTTTCCATTTCAAGGAGTTTTATGGACACAACACAAAAGGGAAAGA